CGCCATCGAATTTCACCTGGTTTTAATCGCAAATGGGAATTTCAAGTTGGCGTGACCCCTTATTTTGGTCGTAGTCCCTTTTCGATGTGTAAAAGTCGTTTATCGTATCATTTTGGCAACAGGTTCCTAGTCTATGGCTCAACATTGACAGAGGAATCCGGGCAAAGCGTACTAATCGAGGTTGCTCTGACAACGGGGTCAAACCAATCCTTCAATTATTGTTATATTAAGCAGTTTTATAGATTACAGGAGAACTTGCATACGATCTATAATCATCCTAGTTCTTATAAGATTATGAAGAAATTATAGTTGATTATCCACAGGACGCCATAGACTTCACCTCGCCTCCTAAAAAGTATTCTCATCGAGTGGAGACTACCGTTTATACCTCATCCGGGCTTCATCATCACCTCCAACGGGAATCGAACACAGATTTTATGTAGGCATAATTTCTTATTCAAGTATTTGTGATAGTCAAAAACCAACTTATGGCGAAAATGTTACCACTTTGCCAAAATTCCCCGAGTGTCCCTCATATCCCATTTCTGCTGGCCGCGTCAATGCGGCAAAATTGCAATTTTCCATTGCAATGGATCACGCTACTTATATTAATAGTAAGTAGGCATTGTAGATATCATTAATATATACCCTTAAGGACATTAGATGATTTAGGGTGACTACAAATGTCCCATAACATTTAATGTTTCAGCTTTGACCTAATCTAAGACTCACCAGCACTCATAGAGAAAATTGTACCAGGTTAGTAAAACATATACTCTATACACGTTACCAAAACGCCATTATACCACGAAAGCGTTTGGTGAAGAGATTCGGAGGTGGGATTTTTCTTGACCACCTGTCGCTTGACTTAACCTGAACATTTTTGTTGAGTAGGTTTCCGAGGCAATCTTTTTGGATGACAGTAAAAACGTGTTAAGTTTTCGTCCATCGTAGGACAGCTTTTTTTGCATTTACTACTCCGAGTTAAAAAGGACCAGGCCTCTCGCATATTACAAGTTTATAGTGGAATTGTCGATTATAGAAACTTTTTTGCCATTACATTCGATTACAATACTATACTTCTATATTCATATAAGGGAGATTTCGAAAATATCAGTAAATCAGTAAATCAGTAAATCGTTATGGAAAAATTCAGCCATCAATCCTTCATTACCTCATGTGAACTTGGGTGAATACAGCGCTTTTTCAAGATCTACTGATTGTTTCGAAGCCTATTTTATGTGAATATAGGCTTTGGCTTGTCTATACCGTAGCAGGCAAGTCTGTCTGTCCCGCGAGGAGAACAGATGAGGACACGAAGAGGCCGTGAGGGGGACGGGGCCGGTCCAGAGATCGTCTATTCGCCCTCAAAATTGGATGAAGAACGAGATTTTGCCCGACCAACAAAGCCCAAATGCCAGTCAATCTGGCCAAATGCAACGGAGTCCGTTTGGCTTCTCCACTTTGAAAGTGAGCATGCGGATGCCTCAGAGTTGGACTGAGCCAAGCAGGCCGGATTAATGTCATCTTCGGCGAAATGTACGCTACTGGGCAGATGAGTGCATGTTTGCAACTAAGCTGTCAGTCCGGCTTGTAATTAAGTCATCCTTGCTGCTGCTTAACCTCCCCTTGTTCCTTCTTCTCCTAATCCTCTTTTCCCTTTCCACCAGCATCTCCTTGACTCACCTTCCCCACCGTTGTTGCCTTCTTTTATTTCCATTCCTTATTTACTCCCTCCCCTCCTTCATAGCATTCACTCTCTTTTCCCTTTTGTGCCCTCCTTCCATCTCTAATGACGCTGGTTTCGCTTCACACATTACGTCTTTTCGCCAATCCCTTCGCTTCTTGCCCTCCATCGGAACATCTATTCCCATTTCCCTCCTTCCCTCCTTCCCTCCTCTGCTCGCTCTACTCATCTTCCATCTTTTGGGAATTCCAAACTGCTTACATCTATCCCGAACACTTATTACTGATCACTTTCATACTACAGCAAATTTTGGTACCTTTCTATTCTCAATTTGCCTATTCCCATTTCACTTCACTTTTATATTATACATTTCTCTAGCGGACACTTTATTCGCGGCTCCCACGAATCTGATTGCCTCCGAGATGCACCACTTTTGTATGCTGTCATGGCATCTGATATCGAGGCTACCAACGAAGCATCCATTATTGCTTCCCATTCGTACTCTTCCACATTTGTTCCTGCCATTTTACTGCTTTCCCCCTTTTAAATATGGCTCTTCGAGACAATTGGTTAAACGGTGAATCCAAGATGCTGCTGCCAAAGCAAAAATCTGTCTCCGATCTTTCTGTCGAGGTGTATTGAGGGATCACTGTAGATATGTGCCCCTTTGTAGTTGGGGCGAGGATTACTACTTGAGGAGGGGCTATCAAGCATCAGTCAGACGGACGGAAACATGTGTTTCTGTGAACATGAGGCGTACAAAATGGATCTGAAGCTGGACAGACTAAATTTGCATTTTATGCAGGGTCCAATCAATTATCCGTGAAGCAGACGCCAAAAGAATAGATACTTATCGTCTGTTAATCCATACAGAGTCAGTACTTCACAAGAGGTAACGTGGGAAGCAGTACAATCACACGTGACAGTCAGTTGCTCTTATTTGACTTTATGTGAAACACATTTTCTTCCACCTATTCTCTTTTTTACTATTAGCTTCCTTCTCCTTTTCTTCCCTTTGAGTTATATTTCCTCCCTAGGTTTGGCCTCGCTAAATTTTTTCCACAATTTTCTCTCTTCACATAGAAAACATCT